AGTATATATATATATATATATATATATATATATAGTACACACACCGTTTAGGGGTCGTTTAGTGTGAAGACAAGTTATGTGAGAATTATTTATGTTGGGTTACTTATATTGGGATTAGTTATTCTGTGATTAATTATCCTAAAATTATTTCTTATTAACTGTTTGGTATGTTGTATTAACCAAAAAGGAATAAGACAGTACTAAATTTTTATTCCATAATTATTTTTGCTTTATCTATCATACCAAACGACCTCTAAGGGTGTTGCCAAAAACAGATTTTCCCATCAATATATGATGGCTAGGGTTTCTATGAGAAAATCTTCTCTGCATCTTAGAATGAATTAACATGTTATGGATAAAGAGAGTTCATTTATTTCGTGAGGATTTTCGGCGATCGATGACACAAGTCGTGATTGCTGCAGATTTACTTCCGTCTTCGGGGAAACCCATAAGTACTAAACTAGTATTTGCAATTTAATTTTAGATACTAAATAATAAACTGTAGTCTTGATAAGTTACGTAGTATTTTTGTCAAAGAAGTTTCAAACACTACAACAAATATGATATTTAGCTACAAATTTTTTAGCTACGACACAAAATTTGTCACTAATTGCTAACTTTTCGTGATAAAAATTACCTTTTGTGTCTAAATACGCGAGTCACATATTTTTAGTGACGAAATACAAAATTTTGTAGCAAAGTTTTGTCTACTAAAGTTTCCCACCAAAAAATGAGTTGGCGCCATTTACTGAGAAATATTAGCTACAAAGATAATGCTATTAATGACAAAAAAATTTGTCATTGACGTTGTATACCATTTGTGACTAAATATCTTTTGTCTTAATAAATGCTTAAATTTAGATACAAAAAAGTTTCGTCACAAAAAAATTGTTAAAATAGCAACAATTAAAAATCTGTAGCTAAATAATGCGAACTTTAGCTACAAAATATTGTACTTATTTGTGATCATAGTTTTTGTCACTAATAAGGTAGATAATTTACGGCGATCATTCTGTTGTCCCTATTTAATACTTAATTTAGCCACGATGGCGTTTTGTCTAAAAAAAATAGTGTCTTGCTACAACTAAAAATTCGTCACACATCACTCATTTTTTGTGATAAATATTAGATTTTATATTTGGATGTACTAATTTAGAGATGATATTCAAATTTTATAACAAACTTTTTCTAATAAGATTTCCCAACAAAAAATATTAAACACCATTTACGGAATAATATTTAGCTACAAAAATGAAATTGCTGATGACACATTATTTTATCGTTGACCTTGTGTACGATTTGTGATGAAAATTAAAATAATTGTCTCTAAGTTGTTAAAATTACATTCAGAAAAGAAGAAAAAGGGTCAGTAACCACGTATTTGGTTTTTATATAATGATAATTAGAATTTATAGTTAAATTGTGCGTTTATTTGCCATGAAAAAATCTTGTACTTATTCGTGGTGATAATTGTGGGTATAATTTATCTAAACATTTTGGGGGAAATGATTGCATTATTTCACAGAAATATAAAATGTATTGTCGCAAAATTATGTGTCTAATTAACCAAAACTAGAATTTCTAAAACTATAAAAGTATAAAAAATAATTCAAATATGCCACTGAACTTTGAGAAAGACCCAAATATATTATGTGTCAATAGCTGAGGTCAAATATACTCCATGTTGTTAAATTGGTTTAAATATACGCTTATTCAGTAATGACGGAAGTTGTCCAGCACGTGATTTTTATTTTTATTTTTTGCAACAGAAAAGTCTCAAAATTGACTGTAAACTGGCGACATTGCAAACAGTTTGGCATATAACTATATACAGTCAAACATCTCTATCACAAGCGCATACTCTATAACACACTATAGCAGCTAACTTTTTTTAATCAATTTATCATGTTATATGTTAACCCTCTATAACCACATTTTACAAATAACAATAGCGATCATCACTATACCAATATATTTTTTATAAAATTATTTCTTGCTAGCAGCTCTACCCAAATATTAACTAATTTTGCATTTTACTGTATAATGCTAGTTCTAGTTAATTTTAGTAAATTTTTCAAAATAACTGCTATTTGGTTGAGATAAAAGATTCAATTGTTAAGTTCGTAAATGGTGAAGACCCAAAAGGTTATCTCTTGTTTTAGAAGTTAAATCTGTGTTCCGAGGCCATAAAAACCTTATTTTTCTCACCTCGATTTGCGTGCGCAGTCCGGGTGTATATTCGGAAAGCCTTTATGTGAAAATTTAAGAAAAATGCTAAATTTTGCCTTTAAAATTGAATTAAGTTGATTTCGGTCAATATTTTTGGGTAAACGGACCCGGTCCGGTAATTGAACGCTCCAAAAGGGTCCGTAGGAAAATATGGGACTTGAGCGTATGCCCGGAACTGAATTCCGAGGTCCCTAGCCCGAGAAATGAATTTTTGAAGAAAATTGTTTAACTGAAAAATATAAGGAGTTTAGAAATTGAATAATGTTTGAATTTGATGGTATCGGGCCCGTAATTTGGTTCTGGAGCCCGGTACATATTTAATATGGTATTTAAGTTATATCTGTAAAATTTGGTAAGAAACGGAATTCATATGACGTGATTCGGACCCTTGGTTGTGAAAATAGTAACTTTAGGTGTTCTTGAGAATTTCAATGATTTTGATGCTAAATTCGTTGTTTAAGATGTTATTTTGGTGATTTTTCGCATGAGCAAGTTCATACGATGTTTTTAGATTTATGTGCATGTTTGGTTTGGAGCCCCGAGGGCTCAGGTGAGTTTTGGATAGGCCGCAGATTGTTTTGAACTTAAGAAAATTTGCTGGTGTGTTTCAGGTCTACAATTGCGAAGCCTGGCTCGCAAATGCGAGCTACGATGCTCGCATTTGCGAAGACCCTTTGCATTTGCGATAAAAAGGCTGAGCAGGGACCTTCGCAATTGCGAAGTTCATCATCGTATTTGCGATAACATCAGGTCGCAATTGCGAGCAAATGTTCACATTTGCGATAATAGCAGGCCTGAGCATTCTTCGCAATTGCGATGTAATGTTTGCATTTGAGGTGTTCGCAATATCACAAATGCGATAACTGCGATTGTTCAAAAAGAGTTTTAGACGGGATTTCAACTCATTCTTTCAAATTTTCAAACTCTAAGCTCCCATGGGCGATTTTCCAAAGAAAGGTTCTTCCCCAAATCATAGGTAAACAATCTCTAACTCATTTGTTTCAATCTACTTCATCATTTTACAAGATTTCATCACAAAATCTAGGAATTTTCATGGGAAATTGGATGTTTTTGGGTGAAATTTGGAAATTTGGGGATTTAGACCTCAAATTGAGGTCGGATTCCAAAATCAATTGCATATCCGGGCTCGGGGGTGAATTGGTAATCGGGTTTTGGTCCGAACTTCGGGTTTTGACCAAGCGGGCTCGGGATTGATTTTTGACTTTTTGGGAAAAATGTTGGGAACCCTATAATTAAGCATTGGATTTGAGTTCTTTAGCATTTATTGATGTTATTAAGTTAATTATGACTAGATACAAGTGAATTGGAGGTGAAATATAGTGGGAAAGCGATATTTGAGGCTTGATTTTTGGCTGTGGAATCCAGGTAAGTGTTTGGCCTAACCTTACCTTGAGGGAATATATGTTGTCTTGTTTGCTACGTGTTAGTGTTGAGTACGACGTATAGATGTGGTGACGAATATCTATACGTTGGTGTCGAGCATGCCTGTGAGTCTTATACTGTGACTGTTGTGACTCTTATTATGTACTGTCCATGCTTAAATTGATGATTATCCACGTTGAACAAGACTTATGATAATTTCTTTGTAATTGACCATTGTTGAGTATTGGCTCAAGTTGAGATTTATTTTTGTGAAGTTAACTGTTGAAACAAGATTGATTATAGCTGATTCCCTTGCCGGGATGTTATTGTTTCTATTGTTGATTCCTTTGCCGGGATGTTATTGTCTCTATTGTTGATTCCCTTGCCGGAATGTTATTGTTTCTATTGTTTGGGTGCGGAAAGAGTGATAAGCACGAATGGTGATACCGTGCACATTCATACTTATGCATATGGTGAGGAAAGAGTGATAAAGCACGGAGGGTGATGTCATGCACATTTACATTTATATTAATACATACGGCGAGGAAGAGAGATAAAACACTTAGGGTGATGTCATGCACATTTATGCTATTCATATGATAAGGAAGAGTGATAAAGCATGAAGGGTGATGTCGTGCACATTTCTATTATTGATTGCATGGTGAGGATTGAGAGTAAAAGCACAATTATAGATTTCTTTCATTAAATTTGAATTTTTTTGTATCCAATTAGTTCTCCAATATATATGTGTATTAGAGAGTTTAATTGTTTGTAGGTACAATAAAACTAGTTATTACGGATTTTAATAATACATTAGCTTTTTTTGAAATTTAATTAATAAAATATGAATATCTTCTGAGATTTTAAATTTAAATATTTTATTTTCTTTTATTACATAAAAAGTTTGGAAAAATGACCATTTTTATAATTTTGTATATAACAGTCAAACAAGATCTAAATGTAAAATAATATTACAAGTGTATAATAATCATTTCGCTAAAGGATATGTAGACAAACAATATTATTACAGAGAGGTTTGACTGTAGTTAAAAAATTTGAATGACATATTTTGTTGGTTATTTAATAAAATTTTAAATATAATAAATTGGCAACGATACATTTTTATTGTTGCCAAAATGTCTAGTATTGTTGGTGAAACACTTGATTTTCTCTACAACTAATTACGCATATTCAGGGGCTACCGTGACAGTATATATATATTAGATAATTTACTAAAACTTTATAAATATTTGACGGTAAAATTAATTATAATCATAAATTTACTTAAGCTAGTTGTAGGAACTCATAAACTTGTATATTGAAGAAAAAAAATTAGTACCTAATTTTTGGAGTAATTTTTTTTGTTTCTTTTCAACTTTCCGCCAAAAAGCAAACGCGGCAAAAAGAAAAAATTTCCTCATTTATTTTTCACTTTGGCTCTAGGTTTTCTCCTTTCAATTAGACTGTTACAATTGAAATCTTTGTTTGGTATCGCTCTTCGGTAAGCATGTTCCCACCTCAAAATTTAAATTACATCTGAAGGTTAATTTATCTCCTCTTTTGTTACTGTATTTACATTGAAGAATTATTTTAGGAATTCAAACAATCACTCAAATTCTTTACAATCTTATTTATTTAGGGGTTTTTGTTCTTCCTTTTGTGTTTTTTAGCAGATTTTAATCATCCAAAGTCCATCGAAGATATGTATAAAGCAGCTACACCTACTTTTTACTCCAACGTTTGTGTTAGGGTTTCTTGCTCTGAATCGTTGTCTTTCTATTCAGTAAGTAAGTAATTTTAATTTGTGATAACCATCTTGCTTTTGAGAAAATGAGGAATAGGGTAAACACGAATCGAGCATTTATGCTAATTTTAAGAATTTCTCTATCATGCTCTTATGTGAATATGACAAATGCCTTGCTTTGCTAGTTTTCACTTTCCAGAATTCCCCTATCGTATTGATATGGGTAGTGGGTAAGTTCAAGAAATCTTTATTCTTTCTTTAGCTCTTCCTGAATTTCTTTTTGGTATTTCCTTGTTAAGCATATGATTTATCAAGATGAGTATTGAGTAGTTGAATATATTTGAAGTATAATCTTTCAGTTTTTTAGAATAAAGTTTACTTTCAACATTTTCTAACTTTATTTAGTGTATTTTGGTAGTTTACGATGGAACTTGCAATGTGTATTCCGATTAAAAATATGAGGAAAACAAAATTATCTTGTGTAACTTATTATAATTGCAGAACATGTTCATAGTTTTATTTTATACTTTGCCAATTACTAGGTACTAGTCATCCATATTAGAAAAGTTAGAACTATAATAGTTATACCGACATAACTTTTCTAGTAAACTTGGAATCAGGTATCCTATAAGCCAGAGTTGAATTGCCATCGGTCTTCCTTTGACAGCTCTCTCTATAAGCTTAGTAGTCTAGCTATAGATTACAATTGAAAGTTAACACCAATCACCAATTCATATCAGGATTATTTTTAGAAGGAAAAGATAATATTTTGAGAAAATCTCATTCTTGAGATCCTTAGGCACTGTTCGGAGGAGGTTTAGCAGCAGTTGTTATCACACTTTTGCTCTACAAGCTCATCGCCACCATTGGATTATCTATTAATCATCAAGTGCTTTTAGATGAATCTTTTCGGATTGTATCTCTGTTTTCTTGAAAAATGCTATTTTTATTCTTCCATTTTTCTGTTTTTAATTGCATAATGCATAAAATAGGGTATAAATGCAAAAGATTGATTTGGAAGTGGCTAATTCTTATTAATATTTTAAGTCCTCTTTTCCGCTAAATTTTATTGTAGTTTGCATCATTAGTTACAGTCATTGAAATAGTTGCTTCCAATTTAGTCTCTTAGAAAGTGAAGGTGAACAAAATATAACAAGTCCAAGAGCCCCTCACAATTTTTGTTTCACTTTAATGTTTCTGGACTTATACTCTGGTTATGTGATTTATATGCAATAATAATTTACAATCAACTGTAGTTACATTTGCAATGAAGAAAAATTATAGTCATTGTGTGTAAGATGCTTGGAAGTAGGGACAAGAAAACCATTATCAGCTCCATTTTGGTGCTCAAGTGAGATATGTAGTAGGTATTACTATCACCTTCCTACTGTTCTTGATTTTTATATTCTAATCATTCTGTTTTTCTTGTTATTATCAGCTCCAATAAATGGATTTTCTTGTTCAACATTTTGGGGGTCAACTGCAACCTAGTTTTTCCAACTCTCGAATCAATTAGGTAAATTTACTACTAGTTACTATTCTATAAAGTATTATTTTTAATTTGATATAGTATCCATGGTTGAAGGATTGATTTGATATTATATATATATATATATATAATCATCAAAGAATTGCTAACCATATATAGTTGCTATTATAAGTTGAAGAAGAAGTATGAAAATAGGACTGCTAAATATTTTAAGTGCCTTTAAAACTGAGAACTGGTGTAAGGGATTAACAGAGTACTTCTACTTTTTCTTTCTCCTAATTTGAAAAGCTAGATGTGTTCATGTCTTCTTGACCTTTGGATTTATGAAAATAATTTAGCTACTTTCACTTTGAACGAAAAAGGAAAAAACGATGAACCCAACTAAAACTACGCTTATTGCATCTTAATTGACAGGTTCTTTGCGGTTTGCTTATTTGATGTTTGGATACAAAAAATAGAGTTGGTAAATTACTGAAACTATAATGACAGTGAATCCTTAGGACAATGAATGTGAATTATAATGTTAGTATTAACGTTGCATACAATAACATCCACTAACGAGCATAATATTTTAATAGTGAATGTATAAATGAGTGAGTAAAGAAGACTTGGATTTTCACAAACTATTTGCCTACTAGCTTCTTGATAATAAGGACCTTCTGGCTACTTCATCCGTGTTATTACCTAATCACAGCTGTTTGTTATACAAGTAGGTGCCTTGTTTCTATGATGTTTGAAAGGATTTCTTGGATTTTATTTTCTGAAACTTCTATTTTTTTTTTCCTGTCAGTGAAATGAATGAATGAGGATATAAAAAATAACTACATGTAATTGCTCGTTCAATTCACGGCAGGTCTGATTCTAATGTGAGAAAGCCTACATAGTTTACTTTACATTTTGATAGTTAGTAATTACATATATATGAACAGAGTTCATGCTGTCACATAGATTAGTTTGTGGATGTGTCACGACCCGATCCCCGAACCCGGTCGTGATGGCGCCTCTCGCGAAGACAAGGCCAGCCAAACCAAAACGGAACACCTCTTTTAAACAGTTAATCATCATAAATAGTAATAACATATAATATAATGCTCATAAATTGCGGAATTTAACGATAATAAAAACATGAACCATCCCGACACAGCCCAAACCGGGGTGTCACAAGTCATGAGCTACTACAGAATCTAATATAGGTCTACAAAGTACGGAATCCGATACAACAGTTTGAAGAAAACATAAATGATAGAGGATAAGAGAGTCAAAGGGCTGCGGACGTCAACAACTACCTCGTAACTCCAAATCACTGCCTAGCCTGGAAGGAATCAACGCTCAGGTGCGGACTCTGCTATACCTGAATCTACACACATGGTGCAGGGAGTAATGTGATTACTCCGACTCAGTGAGTAATAATTACAAATAATGGCTGAAAGTATGAAAACACGTAAAGACAAAGCAATTCCATATCAAGTAGTAGAATCACTTAAAGCAGTAAATCAGTGAAGAAATCAAATGATATTCCTTTTTAAAACAAGTAAAACAGGTAATTAACAAGTAGAAATCCGCCCCTCGGGCACAGTATCAATCGCTCAGCATAGTAGCAGCCCCTCGGCTGACTCTCAGTACAGTATCAGCCCCGCGGGCTACCTCACAATCACTCATCATAATGGTCAGCCATTGTTACTTGACCAACTTTCATCAAACAGTGTCATTGTTACCACTCTTTCAAATCACATGGGTACCCGCANCTCGTATTTATAGAGTACCCCTCGGATTCCGACACCGCTGACCGCACAAAAATGACCGCGGTCGGCACAAAACTAGTGGGGTCCGTGCAAAAACGACCGCGGTCGCGCAGGTCTTGCTATGCAGGGACAAGCTTTAGTAATTTGGCCATAACTTTTGCTACAGATGTCCATATTGCAATATCTTTACCTTTCTGGAAACTAGACACGAAGGGCTACAACTTTCGTTTTTGAATCACCTCAAAATCCCTTGTGGATCAAAAGATATGAGCTTCCGAAGTAGGACCAGCAACCTGCAATCTTCACGACCACGGCCGCGGCCACTTTGACGCGGCCAGCACTAGGCCAACGCGCCCAGCGCGAAAAGGAGCGCGGTCCGGGCCAAAACTGCTGCTCCCTCCATTTTTCTAAGTTTCGGGGTGTCCGTACTCGCTCAAAACTCACCCGAAACACACCCGAGGCCCCCGGGACCTCAACCTAAAGCACCAATGCATCCTAAACATTATTCAACCTCGTTCCAATAATCAAAACAACTCGACTAATACCAAAATCATCAAATCACATCGAATTCAAGCCTATGAATCTCAAGAACTTCCAAATTTTATTTTTGATCAAAAACCCAACCAAACCACGTTGAATGACCTCAAATTTTGCAGAAAAGTCCAAAATGACATAACGAAGCTACATAAACTCTCGGAATTCCATTCCGATCCTCGGATCAAAATCTCACATATCAACCGGAATTCGCCAAAATACTAACTTCGCCAATTCAAGCCTAATTCTACACCGTACCTCCAAAACCACTTCCGATCACTCTCCTAAGTCACAAATCACCTCCCGAAGCTAACCGAACCATCGGAACTTACATCCGAACCCTTTAACACATAAGTCAACATCCGATTGACTTTTCCAACTTAAGCCTTCTTAAAAGAGACTAAGTGTCTCATTTCTTACCAAATCCTCTCCGAACTCGAACTAATCATCTCGATCCCATAAAACACGGATAACGAAGCGTAAAGAAGCTAAAATGGAGGAAATGGAGTGGTAACTCATGAGACGACTGACCGGGTCGTCACAGGATGTAAACATTATGTTGATATACTTCAGTGAACTTTCACTTATGTTAAAGCTGTAATGATAAAGTTGAGTTGTAATTTAGAAATTACTACTAATATATATGCTCCATATTTTTTTGCATTTTAATATCTATATTAGTATATATGTTAAATAGTATTTTGAATTGACTTTTTTTATAAATAGGTGCAGATTCACTTGGAATCAAGGAAGGTTGTGGACAAACTAAAATAGGGTATTGAGAAATAAAGAACTCTTCGGGAGAAAAGATGATACTAGAAATCCTAGTTGGTAAATGGAGATCAATCAAGGTAGTGATTACATTGTATTTTTTTAGACAATCATACTTTTATTGAAGGACATTAGTTCGTCATAAATGCGACAAAAAATAGATTTTGTCCTAGAATTTTCTTATCAATAATATATAATATTTTATTTGACAATGAATTATCTTTGTATTTTTGAGAATTGTAATTGTCACTAATCATGATGATTTGTAGTAACGTTTTTGTTTTGTCAGTAAAATTAATATTTTTAGTGACGAAATGATAATTTAACTATGTAATTGTAAACCTTATTTATAAGAGCTGAGTTGTCACTAATTTATACAATTAGGGACAAAGTATCTGTTTGTATATAAAAGGCATTCTTTAGTGACGATATTGCAACTGTTCAACTACGAAATATATATAATTTTATAGACAATTTATGTCGTCATTAATTAAACTAAATAGACAGTGACAAAGCAGTTTTGTCGGCATTAATGACCTTTTCAATGACGAAAATGCATTATCAACTACAAATTTTTTGTATTTTTTTGACGAACAAGTTCGTCATAAATTCTATTAATTTAGGGACAAAAAATGATTTCGTAGTTAATATAACTTTATTTAGTAACGAAACACAAAGTTATCTTTGTATATTATTAGTGACGTTGTTTTAAGGACGAAAGATTGACAATTTTTTTTTTGTCACCAACTACTTTTGTGACGAAATATGAATTTTAGGTGACAAAATAATTTATCACTAATAATCAAATTTGTTGTAATGAAAGGAACATATTAAAGCTTGAGTGACTTCACAAATAATCTTAAAATTTTAACTCTAATACTAGACTCTTTCATAGATATTACGAGTCACCTTTTGACAAGCTTACTCTCACACGTTCGTTTCTCTACCATCCTTTGTAACGATTCGACCGGTCGGTTTGAGTTTTTGCACTTTGCTCGCCAGTTCTCAGGCATGACTTGCCCCGTGTGGTGTATTATAACTTATGTAAATCGTTGGTTTTGGTTTTTAGGGTATTTGGAATGAATTTGGAAGAATAATTCTCAGTTTGAAGCTTAAAATGTGAAAAAGTTTGACCAAGATTTGGCTTGTTTGTATATGATCTCGGATCAGAATTTTTATGATTTGTTAGCTCCGTTAGGTGATTTGGGACATAGGAGCGTGATCGGAATACATTTTGGAAGTCCGTGGAAGGTTTAGGCTGAATTGGCGAAATTGAGATTTTGGCGTTTTCTGGTTGATAGATGAGATTTTGATATAGGGGTCGGAATGGAATTCCGGAAGTTGCAATAGCTTCGTTGTGTCATTTGTGACGTGTGTGCAAAATATAGGTAGTTCGAACGTGGTTTGGTTGGGTTTTGATCAAAAACGAAATTCGGAAGATTTTAGAAAGTTTGGCTTGAAGCTGATGTGTTTTGGTTGATTTGATATTGCTTGAGGTGTTTTGAAGGTTGGTTCAAGTTTGTATAAGGTATTGGGTTATGTTTGTGCTTCTGGTTGAGGTCCTGGGGGCCTCGAGGTGACTTCGGATGGTTAACGGAGAGGTTGGAATCTTGTTGCAGCAGCTAATATTATTGCTTCTGGTATTTTCGCACCTAGAGTTTGGGGGCCGCAGGTGCGGTGCCTCATAAGCGGAGATTTAGCCGCAAAAGCGGGAGAGGCTTGAGGAACAGGAAATCGCAGAAGCAGCTAGTGGGAACGCATCTGTGGAATCGCATATGCGGAGGGAGGCTCACAGATGCGGAATGGTGAGGTAGAGTCAGGAACCGCAAATGCAGTAGAGGGACCGCACCTGCGGAGTCGCAGATGCGGCTAGTGGACCGCAGATGCGGTATTTGGTCCGGTAAGTAAATTTCACAAAAACGGAGGATTAGACCGCATATGCGGTACCGCAGAAGCAAGTTTTGGACCGCAGATGCGGAAAAGCCCGGTGCAGAATGCTTAAAAATGAGTTTCGCGAGCTTTGGTCTATTTTCTCCATTGTTGAACGATTTTTGGAGCTTTTGAGAAAGATTGAAGAGGGAATCGAAGGGTAACACTTGGAGGTAAGATTTTTGAACTCTATATTCGATCCTATGTTAATTCCGACTTGTTTAATCATGAAATATGCGGAAATTAAAGCCTAAAATTGGGGAATTAGAGCTTGTAATTAGAGACCTAGAAATTAGGATTTGAGGGGCCATTTGAGGTCCGATTTTAATGTTCTTGGTATGTATAGACTCGTGAGAGAATGAGAATTCTACTGATGTAACTTTTATCGGATTTCGAGACGTGGGCCCGGGGGCCGGGTTTAATTTCGAGATTTTTGATGTAAATTAGATATTTTCGAGTGGGTTTTGTTCCCTTAGCATATTTTAATAGTTATGTACTGATTGTGGATAGATTTGGAGCATCCGGAGGTCAATTCGTGAGGGCGAAGGCATATCGGGATAGAGTTTGGACCGGATTGAGGTAAGTAATGATTGTAAATGCTATTACGAGGGTTTGAATCCCCAAATTTCACATTCTTGTGCTACTTGAGGTGATGCGCACGCTAGATGACGAGCGTGGGGCCGTGCACCGTTGAGGATTGTGACTTGGTCCGTCCCGTATAACTGCTAATTCGCGTATTTGATTTGAAAATCTTATGATATTCCACTTTTTAGAGATTGATATTATATTTGGGCGGTATGCCATGTTTGGGTCCTTGTGCCGACCTATTGAGACCTTTATGGGCATTTTGACTATTTTTCCCACTTTACTTGCTAGAAGCCAATCCTCAGTCATGTTTTACCTGCTTAAATGTTTAAAACTGATTTTATTACTCTACTCCTAATTGTGAAAACTGGTTGGGCTGAGATAGACCGAGGGTCTGATTGTGAGGTTGATGACTGAGATAGATCGATGGTCTGATTGTGAGGTTAATGNATAGCGCTTGGGCTGTAGGAGCCCCTCCGGAGTCTGCACACCCCCAGTAAGCGCAGTCGACTATATATATGGATCGGGCTGCACGCCGCAACGATTACTATATGGTACATATTGAATGTGAGTGCTGAGTGTGAACGCTGATTGGTAAGAGTTGAGTCACGAGTGACTAAGAGGCTTGCCCGAGGGGCTATAGATATACATGTACATGAGTGATGCTTTGCCTGAGGGGCCTGTTTATGAACTTACTATTTTTTTGCTCCTCCTTAAAGTGAGTTTCTATTGAATATGTTGATTTAATTACTGCTTTCACTCATCTTTAGACCGAGCCTCTATTGGAAATGTTGAACAAATGATTTAAATAATCTTTCATTTAAACTGAAGTTTTTAAGTTACAAAAAAGGTGGTGAAATTCTGTTATGCCGAGGGGGCTGTATACGAACTAAGTTTTTGCCCGAGGGGCAGGTTATGGTTTTCTTCTCTTTTATTATAAATGGTATCGAACCCTATTGGAACTGTTGGAAAGCGTTTTAAATAATTTTTACCAAAAGCTGGATTTTAAATGAGACGATTGACTCGTATTCTGATTGAAAGCCTGTTGTGCTTATTGAGTTATCATATTTGTGGATTCATCGTTTCCTACTGCTCAGCCTTTATTTACTCTTATTATTTACTGGGTTAGAGTACTCATATTACTCCCTGCACCTCGTGTGCAGATTCAGGTATTTCGGAACCCGGTAGCGGGTGTTGATTGCTCAGACGCAGAGTCATTAGAGTTAGCAAGGTGGCTGCACGACGTTCGCAGCTCTGCTTCATTCCTCTCATTTTCATTACTGTACTTAGTACACTTTTGACTGTTGTTGTAATCAGACCTTGGTAGATGCTCATGACTAGTGACACCCCGATATCGGGCTTGTATAATTATTCCGTATTTTTCTTTTAAATGTTCATTATGAGATTATTGGTTTATAAATGATATAAAAATCACTTTTAATGGAGAATGGTTGATTTGGAAATCGTGTCGGTTGACCTTGTTTTTTCACGAGATGCGACATCACGACCGGGTCCGGTTTGGGGTCGTGACATCATCACATTTGTTTTATAGTACGTTTGATTCGCATAGGCGGAACTAAGATTGAAAGTTTGCGGGTTCTGAACTTGGCACCGAACCCATAGCATGTTTTAGGTACTAGGTTCACAATTATATATTAATATAAACTTAATACGCTTTCTAATATAAATACAAGGGCCTATGCAAAAGGTACTGGGTTCGGCCGAACCCGTTAATTATACCCTGCCTCCGCCCCTGTTGATTCGAGACTGATGGTGGTATAAAGGCGTTTGACAATATTTGTTGTTGTGTTTGAACATAAAATTCACTTGCAAGAAGTTGTAATTTTGTGAGTGAAAATTATTATTTCATCACTTGAATATTTTCATAATATTTTTATTTTATTTTAAATTCTTTATTTTAATAAACTATTACCAAATTTTGAAACAAATATTAATATGCCATATATATTTTATTGAAATAATAAAATAATTGTTAAGACCAAATAAAAATAGTATTTGTTTCTATGCATGCACAAGCGTGGATTCTCTTCCATCTAAGGATTTTGTACTGCGAATGGAGTTTTATGTCCATTGGGACAAAGAGTCAAAGAGGTGATATATTAGGTTATAGGGGTTGATAATAGAGTATCCAAGTTCTGGAAAAGACACCTACCCTGTGATTAGGTAAAAGCAGTATCCATTTTCATTTCTTTTTGGCTTTTGTAATGAGCAGTTTAGTAATTAGTACATGTTGTCAGTGGGTACTGATTAGTTAACTTGTCTTAGACGGCAAAATTAGCCTCTGTATGAAATGACTAAACATAATCTATCTCTATATTTTATTAAGAGTAAAGGACTGATCAATCAGTATTCACGTGCTAAAGTCTTTGCTATTTGCTGCCCACAGCATACTGCTGTTGCATTTTGATAGTCTCCTGTCTTTTTCATGCTCTTTCTTCCTCTGCTCTCAAGACTGCTATATTACTTGCTGGCAACAACTAATACAAGTTTATTTACACTTGCATAAATTAATTTGGTATAAATATCACGTGCAAGTAGATTGCTTATCATGTACTACTTATTATCTTCAGAACAAAAACCATTGAAGGTTTGAACGAAAGTTATTCTATCTTTATAACAAATAGCGATTGAATTTAATGTTTATTTTTTATAGTCGATATACACAGAGTATATACTAATTAAGTAATTATACACCATTATACATATATTTTAAACTAATTAGGATATTGTAACTTTCGGGCAATTCAGTATATTTTTGTCATGAAAATTTAAACAAAACACTAAAATTCAGGATATACTCCTAAATAACAGCACTTCAGACTTTAGAGTGGCTAACTGGTTTCATTTATATTAAGAGCCGGCCTCATGGGCCATTGGTAATGATCGCGAGCCCATTTCCAATCTGCACTTTTCTGCCCAATTCCGTTTACAGGATTTTGATACATAAAACTTGAGAACTATTTCCAAATATTGTCTCAATTATTTGGAATCTTATGTATGTCCAAACGGGCATGCTTGTGCATGAATATTATTGTACATTACTTGCAAAAATGACCATAAATTTTAGAAAATGTGTTATTTAAGCTTCTTATATTTAGATCTACAGAAGAATGTCAAAAGTTTCCCTCTACATATGTTTGGGAACCTATCAATATATATTAAAGTAATAAAGTTACCAAATATAATTAGCATTGTGGTTAAGCCAAGTGATAAGCTAATAAATACTAATTATGTATGGTAACTTTATTCTATATTTGATTATGTTAGTTAAATACAAATATATATATATATATATATATACACACACACACATAATTGAATTTGAATTAAAAGATAATTTTGAATTTTATATATAAAGTTTTAAAATCTATATATATTAAAGGAATAAAGTTACCAAATATAATTAACATTGTGGTTAAGACAAGTGGCAAGCTAATAAATGTTAATAATATATGGTAATTTTATTCTATAAAGTTTTAAAATTTGAATTAAAATAAAAATAAAAGAAATTTATCTTTTGTTATTATGTTATCATGCTTAATTCAGTTAATGATCATATGCAATAATGTTAAGAACTTTTGTTAATTTTTTATAATTATCTAAATATTACTTTGCCTCGGGGCAAAAAATAAAATAAACAATCTCCATATAATTCTAAACTCTTTCACATCTAAAACGCTATAATTATAGTTCTTTAATACACTATAGCTGGATTTGAATAAAGCAGATTTCTTTTAAAATAAATATAATATATAGGGTACATGTCTATGTTTATTCAAATAACAAAAAAGAGTTTAAAAATCAAATAAAAGTTTACTTTCATATATAATGAAGTAAAACTACATGGTATAGAAAGAAACATCACAATAATGTGTTAATATTCAAAAAAAGTTATTTTTCTTTCTTTTTTTGAAGAGTCAAATTGTATAAATGGACATAAAAAAAATAACAAAATATTGGTACAATTGCTACCATTACTTTTAATTTAGCACCTTTTAGGAATTAAAGGGTATAAGTTGAAACCTTTTCATTTAGCTGCAGTCAAGCCAACATTGCAGGGGTATAATATTTTTTTCGTTGAAGAATATTAGTTTTGAATCATTAAATTATGTGAAAGGTTTCTCGAATTTCAACAAGAGGAATATTGGTTTCTAATTGGTAGTTTCTATATCGATTTTCAAGTATAACAAAAAAAATATTTTGAAAATAAATGGTATGACGCCAAATATTTTTTTTTAAAATGTAAAAAAATTATTTCAAAATGTGATTATTTTTTAAAATATAATGTATTTTTAAAAATAAAAAGATAAGATATTTTTAAATTTTAATAGGGAATTTTAAAATTATTATAATAGAAGTCATATCATGGAAGAAATCAAGTAACCGAAATCTTATGTAATATTTACATAAATGTCCGACCAAATTCATCGTTGATCTTTTATAGCTGATATACATAGATGATATACTGACGATACATGATTATACACGTATTATATATAAATTACACATTCTTTAATTTTTTAATTTAAGTGGTTGAGTGAGCACATATTTAGGTTGATTAGATAAAGTCAAAAGAAAAATATGAAATAACGTTAACCAAAGACTAAAAATATAAATAAATTTCTTATGTAGACAATTTCTATTAAAAATTATCCTTTTATAGCGAAATAAATTAATTTTTTGTTACAAAAGAAAGAAAGACATAAAAAATAAGATAAAAGAAAATAAATATAGAAAAAATATATGGAAAACCTAAGAACCAGAAAATAGAGATGACAACGGATTTCTTCTTCTCTTTATCTCTGTTGAGTATAAGAAATTTGGAAGCTGATCTCATCGATTTAAAATATTTTTTCAACTCAAATATATAGATTATAAGATAAGGATATCTTAGAATATTTTTTTTTCTAATTTACCTTGTGTGTCGTTTTCAAAAAATTACTATTACTAATAAACTCATATGATATTTATATATGAATATAGTTGCAATTTGAGAAGTTTGCATTGATGTTAACCATGTATAGTATCGAGAAAAAACTACTTGATAATTTTAAGAGAATATGTGCAATGTTATATAATTACAATCAACTAATTTAACATTTAATGATTCAAAGAATTTTTTTTGTATATATAGGATATTCAAAATTTAAAATCTGTGGCTAGAGAATCAATAAACTCAAAATAGAGCCATACTGAAATAAAGTTTCGCTGGCTAAAAAATTATTTAAATTTTTAGATAGTCTATTAAAGTGGATTTTAAATTAAGGATGATATCTTCACTTGTATCATTATAAAGCTAATCATTATTGAAAGATAACAATATACCAAATAAAATTAGAATTTTAAAATAAAATATTTTTTGAAAGATAACAACATACCAAAGAAGAGTTCAAGTCATAGTAAAAGAGTCATGTCGTAACCAAAAAGTCGTTCATAGTGTGTCAGCCTTTGTGCTTTGCCATAAATACGAGTTATTATTTCGCTTCGTGACTATTTTTAGGTTCCAATGACTCCAATAAGAATGGTGCAAAAAAAAATCAATACGAGATTTGAAAAAATATTAGTTTTTTTTCATGTAGTATTTCTTAATTAATATGTAACGATTATCTATAATTATATAGAAGGTTTAAATTTTAAGGTTATTTATATATAATTCAAATAACTCAAATGTTTAATATGGTTAGTGTCAAATATCAAAATGGAGTCATACTGGAAAAAATAAATTCACTGGCTAAAGAATTATTTAAATTTTTAGAGACCCGACTAAACTGAGTTTTTGAATTAAGGATAATATTTTTACTTCCATTACTATAAACATAATTATTATTGAAAAATAAAATTTTAGAAACTGAAATTTTAAAATATAAATATTTTTTGAAAGATATCAATACACCAAATAAGAGTTCAAGTAGTAATACGAGAGTCAAGCCGTATCCAAAGAATCCTTCATAGTCTCAACCTTTGATTGTTTTGCCATAGATATGAGTTATTATTTTGCTTCCTGACTATTTTCAGCATCCAATGACACCGCTGAGAATGATACCAAAAAAGAAAATAGAATTATAACTAGGAAATTTGAGAAATGGTTAATATTTTCCATGTAGTGTTTCTTAATTTATATCCAATAATTATCTATATTTATCAAGAAGGTTTAAATTCTAAGACTATTGACACATAATTCAAATAAATAAATATTTAACATGATTAGTGTCCGCGCATATGCGCGGGTGCTAATACTAGTGCTACAAAATGTACACAATTCTGAGTACTAAAATATGGAAAATTAACCAATTTGCGCAGGAACGCCTCAAATTATTTATATTTATTTCTAAAACAGCAAACTAAGCAAAAGCATCTTCCTGTACAAGGATACTACATTATGCTCGTAATACACTCCTTCAATTTAAAGCGAAATGTAAAACAATAAAGAAAGATTTAACAACAACAACAACAATTACACCCAATTCGAAACAAGTTGGAGCCCGCTATATGAATCCATACTCTCCATTAAATTAAAACGAAAGGCGCTTTCCATCGTGATTCACTTTATCCGCTTGTGTATTTATATAGGTTATTCATCTTGATTTGCCTGTCGAACAGTGTTTGATATCAAAGCCCTGAGTTCTTCCTAGATGTCAGTCCTCCAAATGAGAGAATTATTTCTGTCATTCTTCTGCTCAGGTCTTCAAATGATGGACGAAGTTCTGGTTTGCTGTTTGTAGTCAAGAAACAAAGGCTCAATTCAACTACAGTAACAATACTTCTTGATCAGAATTTATATCAAACAAAAGGAGAGGAAATCACCTTTGCCAACAATCATGTATAATAGCTGAAACTCGGGAATCAAGATTTTGTGGAATGTCCAGTCTGCTATCCATGAAGCCAACAATTCCAACAACCTTCAAATAAACAAACTCCTTTTGGTACCACTACTGACTATCGAGAAGCAAACTAACAAATCTAACTTGCTATCAGCATTTGCACACTACACACGTGTTTTAGGCGTTTGTCCTGATTTTCTTACCATATTTAATCTCCCTATCTCTTTAAAGAAGGACAACATATTTAACATAATTAGTTTTTTCCTATTACTAAAAGGAAAATCTAGTTCTTCCATATATATTTGGCTAGTCCTTTTTTTTTTGGGAGGAAAAGGTCTTAACTTAGCATCCACAATGTAGCCTTAAAGAATTTGAAAGTCTTGTTTACGGGGAGAATTTGTGAGACAAGTGTTAGCATGCCACTTGTGTTTGTCTTTATGTGAGGTCGTTCTCTCGATATTTTGTACTGTCTTTTATACAACGAATTACTCATCTCCGCTTGTGGGTATAGGTCAAAAGACCGAACCACGTTAAATATTTGTGTCTTTTTGGTATATGTCTTTTTGGTATATTTCTCTCTTGTTATCTGATTTATCATCATTTAAGGTTTATTTTACTAGCTGCCGCATGACACGTAATTATTTTGGTCATAACACGTGCATATACATCGATATAGTGAAAAGAAACATTGAGGTACCTGTAAGGGATTAAGGTTTTTCCACGGAATCGATTCAGTCATTAGCTCCCATAAGATCACACCGAAACTAAAGACATCAGATCTGCACAACAGTGGAAGAATTTCATCAAGATACCCATGTAAGCGATGCTAATTATGTACAATGTGCAGCAGGATGAAACAACATGCCTAAAAACCTTTTTTTGCAATTTTAAGGGGTTGATCTTTAACTGTATTTCTGAGAATTGAGAACTAAACCACACCACCAGTCTGAGTGTAAAAATATTAAGTTGAATAAATAGGATAAACTATGCAAGATCAGTCAATGGTATTATTAGAAACAAATTAATCTTTATCCAATTTTAAGCATTCTCATGCTTTATACACTTTTTATCCAAATTTTAATAGTATTAACCAAGCATCTGCAAAACTACAACATAATCCAGTGATTATGGTCATCGCATAAAAATCCAGCATTATTTGTCCGCAAATACATTACTAGGCGATACTTTATTCACTATTGTTGGATGTACGAATAAAATCACATATTGGTAGCTGAAAATATTGGTAGCATTCATATAAGGTATAAAGATTTCTTAATCGTCTGAGACGTTTTGGAGAAAACCATACGAGTTTGGCCCAAAACGGACAATATCACACCCATGTTAAGAATATCTTTGGGCCGGTTTAGCCCAATACTCACAAAAGAATGGTCCCACCGATATGCTCCTTTCCTCCTAGAGAAAAGGCACAAGGAGCAATGTCTCAAGTTCTACGATCGGTTTTGCATTACACCATCAAGGTTAACTAACAGAAACAAAAAAATACAGAAAGTAAAGGTTGTGAAGCTTACTTCTCTGTTGAAGGTTCATTTCTAAGTACTTCAGGAGCCATCCACTGAGGCTGCAATGGTAAAATGTAGTAAAATATTGTGAGAGAGAGGTAACAGCATTAGCCCATCTGATGCGACCACAAAAAAGAGCAAAACAAAAGGCTAAGCAGCATACCGTCCCTCGTCCAGAATTTGCTGTTAAAAAGGTAGCATGTTTCAGTTTTGAAAGGCCAAAATCTGCAACCTGAGGAGGGAATCACCAATAAACTTGTCTAGTTAAAGGGCTTCACTATTTAAGAATAATTTTAAGGTTCCACAGAGAAATCAAAACCTTGACAGTCCAGCTTTTATCCACAAGCAGGTTTGAAGATTTCAGGTCTCTATGTACTATTGGAGGGTTTCGTCGGTGCAAGTAATTCATACCCCTAGCCTAAAGCAAACAGAAGAAGTGTGAGAAACAACATGAGTTCTCGTTACGGTAATGCGCTACACTTAAAAACTAATTACTCAAAGCAAATAGACGAGTCCAAGCGGATAACAGACCACGTCAAGAGCCATTCTAAGACGCCTTTTGAGGTCTAGCGGCTGATTATTCCTGTGAAGTGCTTTAAAAAGACTTCCCCTGAAACATATGATGAAACAGCATTTTCACAGAAAATTTTAATTCAGCTACTATATGCAGTGTCTAATCATTTGTGTCTCTAGTTTGACTGCTAACTTTCATAACCAGAACCATGTCTGATGAAATGACATACTTTCATTACCTGGGTAAATACTCTGTGACAATGGCAAGCTTTTCTTGGGAACATACTGCTCCCATAAATAATAGCACGCTTGGATGTCTAAGTCTTTTCATTATGTCAATCTGAAGAAGTGTTGAAAATCAATTAGAATTCTCTTTAAGTATATGATAAGTCAATGACCGTTTGATGGCATCACATACCTCCTTTTTGTAGTCAAGCAAAGTTGTCTCACCACATTGGTTCCCAAAATAAACCTTTACAGCAACATCCTGAAGGACCAAAAAGGCGAGAAGACACAAATACCACGATGATGAGATATCATTTCAGTCTACCATCAGAATGTGAAAAGATTATTGTGAATTAGGACAGTACCGATCCTTTCCAGATTCCATGATACACAAGGGCATATGCACCTAAAAAAGGAAATATTATGGTGAGTAATATTCTAGCTCCCTCACAGACAGTGATTAACAAGATATTCAGCTTTTAATGCTTTTACAAATTGAGGCAATGAATGTACAAATAGATCTCTAACAGCTAGGGAGTTTCTTCTCAACCAAATTTGACCGACATTACATATCTGCAGATAGCCAAAGTGCACCATGTCAATAACATTGGTACAATATTCTCAAGATTTACCTCGTCCAATTTCTTCCCTTAGGCTGATGTCTTCCCAAGATATTTCACAATGTGCTGTCAAGCTTATCCCGTTCTCATATTTCTGTGAATTTCCCTGGCTGCTTCTAGTGCTCTCCCCTGACTTCCGTGACTGTTGATTTTCTAACTGTTGTCGAGAAGAATCTTCCATCGCTGAAAGTTTTGAATTTCCCATCTGTGACTTGAGATATTTATCGTTGTTTTCGAAACATGATCTTGGCAACTGTTCAGGAGATCTGAATGCCTTAGAACATTCATCAAACTTTCTGGAGCAGTTAGCTATTGGACCCTCTGCAACATCAGTGGGCGCTATTTGTGCATTTTCAGGTGCAAACGTTCTTCGAGTAAAACAAGATGTCTTCAGTATATTCTGGAAATCATGATAGGCATCAAGAACATGACTATACTTTCCCTCTGAAGCTGATGGCAAATAAGGTCCCGTGACATCCTCACTAATAGAAGTTTTATCGCGTCCATTCGGTTGAATATTTCCACACATTTCTTCCCTAGTATTTCCAAATCCTGTAATTTGAAGCTTTGACATAACCTTTGCCACCTACCATATTGACAAAAACAGGTAAGACTAGAATAACAATGGCCATCCCACCTCTAAAAGAAATTAATGAAAGCCAGTAAAGTAGGCTGAAGGCCAAGAACAGGACATATCTAGAGAAAAATTATCCTATGCATGAAAGGAAGAAGAAACCGTACTAGTTTAGAAGGCTGAGCAATATCAAATTTAGACTCATCCGTCTCTGAGCTTTCTGAATTAGCTCTAATCTTCCTACCTAGCAAACTGAAATTCAGCCGTGCAGCCTGAAATGTTGATAACATTTCTCATACATCTCATTAATAATTAACAAAAAGCAAGGAACCTGTGACGGCGCGTAGAATTTTCGTTAACTTAAATGCATCTTCATGTTTGAGTTGCCTTAATTAATTGTCGTAAATTGCTTTTAAACTGATTTTTGTTGGATTATTTCTTAATAGTTGATTTTATTTTTTTTATAAATTAACCATATAAAATACGAGTTGAAGAATTATTTAAAGCAGCTAGTGGACATATAGAATATTATTGGTTGAGGTAATTAGGTTGGATTTGGTATATAAAAATGAAGAAATATGCAAACGGTAAAAATTCCAATTGCAGACTCACTTTCATGTGGATTAAGGCATTAGAACATTGCCTTTGATTTTAATAATAATAATAATAATAATTGTATAATATGGGCCGAAGCCCAAGAAAACAAATATATTTAAAATAATATATTTTAAAGTGTTAGGGAAAAAGTCAGCAATTGCTCCTTATGAACTTTACGAAGAAAAGCGCAGCATGAGCCATGCTGCTTAAAACCATGAAGACGCTACAAAAGAAGAAAAAAACGTGTGCTACTGTAACTTTACTCGAAAAAGAAAAAACATAAGGGATTGAGGAATCAAGAAACTGCTTGATTATTGAGCCAACAAAACGCTATAGAGTAGCTGATCCAATGGGTTTCTTTAATTGGAGATGAACAAAGTGACTTTGCTTTTGTACAACAATGTTAATCCTTCTTCCTAATTCATGGTACGTTTTCAACCTGTAGTGTATAAGATATATTCTAGTGTATATGGAGTAGCCTATATGTAATTTTCTTGAACCCCTTGATTTTGTTGGCCGTTCGAGAAGAAAGTTGCAAACAAACATTAAATAATATTAATAAACAAGGTTTTCCTCTACTTAGGATTTTGTAAATCAAGAGATTGGTTTGGTGAGTTGAATTTCGGACTGGAGCAACAAAGGTATTTAAAAGGAAGGATTTTGAGGTAAGTGAGATTTTAAGCTTTGATACTTTTTCTAAAACCCATTTTGAAAGTGTGTTTTCTCTGCCTGGTCCATGTGTTGGGACAAACGTGCGCTTGGCAGAGTTGGTGGTCTTAGACTAGCCGCAAATATATTATTTTATGAAAAAAAAATCATTTTATAAGTTGTTTGATAGTGTGATACAGCTGTGCGCCATAAGGTTGAGTTTTATAGTTTGATACGGCTGTGCGCCATCATATTGAGTTTGATACGGTTATGCGCCATTATACTGAGTTTGATACGGCCGTGCGCCATGATATAATGTTGAGTTTGATACGGCTGTGCGCCATGATGTTGAGTTTTATACGGCTGTGCGCCATGATGTTGAGTTTGATACATCTGTGCGCCATGATGTTGGGGTATTGTGTATGCCTTTGTACATCACCCGTGCATTGTGTATGCTCTGTTACATATTTGAGGCATTGTGGTGCCGTTGTGGACTCGTGGTCTGTTGGTAAATTTCTTTCACTGCAATTATGATAAGTCCTTAGTGTGTATCCTTGTTGGTTAATTCTTAATATCTCTGTTGATACACATATATTGAGTTATTGTATAATTATCATATTTACTATATCATCCGTGTTGGGTGTTTTTGTATTTTCCAACACTTGTTCCAAATGTATTTAAAGTGGCGGATCGAGGATCTTACTGAATTATATTTACGTATAATTCACTCCTTACCTGCATCTCTATTCAGATACTATTACGGGAGATAGAGCTAGTGGCCGACGAGTTTGTTCGAGTGGATCCTATTGCTGAGGTGAGCCACCGTATTGTTTGTGGAGGCTTTCGTTTCAGACTTACCTAGCTCGTGTTAGTTATTTCCTTTTTCTTTGGGGTTTGCATACCCGTCAATAAACTCATGTTACTCTGTTAGATACTCCATGGTTTTAGTGTGGGATTTGAGCTAGAGTTTTATTATTTGAGTGATTGTTGGTTTTTCTATCGATTGACTAAGGTATTGTGCGATAATCGTTTCCTCTTTAATTATTAATAATACTGTTAGGCTTGCATTTTCTTTTCTCAGTGTTTGTGTAAATGGTTAAATGTTAGAGAAAGGGATTCGCCTGGCAGGTGGTGTTAGCTGGGTGCCAGTCACGTCAGGGGTAGTTCGGACGTGACAGAACCTTAGAACCTAAACACTTACAGGTGCTTTTGGTGGCTTTTGCGATTGCCCTCCTATTTTGTCTAGTTCAGCCTCCTTCCTGTCTCTCACATTTGCAGATGCATTGCGTGCATCCTCTCCACGTTTAAGTGGGAACACTTTTGAGGCCTGAAAATATAGAACACAAACGATGAATAACTTACGCAGGAAACTAACTCAAAATGTTAATAAGCCAGTAATAAAGCAATAATAAGCACCAGATTGGAAACAGATGATGCAGTTTGTGGCGGTGGATGCCATTGAATACTTTTGAAATTTATTCCTTGCTTTCCAGGTTGTCCATTAGCCTGAGAGCTTCTTGTTTTTTCTGAGTTTATCTTATTTAGAAAAGCTGCATCACTTGAGACAGTGATAACACCAAAAATCTCACCGTCTTCGTACCATAGGCTCTTTGTCACAATTGCCATAAAGATCTGACCAGTCCTCTTCTTAAAAGGAAACTGACCCGACCATGATTGTCCACAGCTCAATTTTTTCACGGCATTCCTAGCCAATTCATGATATTCTTCACAAATAAGCAGTTCAGTACACCTATGTTCAACTACTTCATAGTTTTTATAACCATAAAGTTTCTCAGCAGCTTGATTCCTGCAACAGAAAACTCGCTTGTGTTATGTGCAAGTTCACAGGAGGGGAGATAGCCGAGACTCTTTCATTTTCTTATTCCTTTTATTATTTACCCTTTTCCTTTCTTCCGTTAATAAAATAAGCGATGGAGCAATGAGTAAGTTTATAGTCACAATATGAGTCAATGGAAAGGGGATTTGGTTACAGTAAATGTGGATGTAGTACATCCGAGCATCCGCATCTACAAAGAAGTAAACCGATAATTGATACTAATGCCTATTTGCTTCACTACTTGCTATAATAGTAGGAAAAGATTGCTACGCGACTCATAGCCAATTGCTGCACCTAATCTTAGCATCTGAAAAGCGCACACTTTATATACTTATTGATGTCTTAACACGATCCGTCTAGCTCCAATCAGATCCTTTTTCATTGGCCATGAAAATTTCCCGAAAGAATATAATTAGACATGAAATCAAGATATTTTCATGCTCTCGTACCATATTGAATTGTCTTAGAACTTGGTTAGAAAGTACACTATCATTTTATTAGTATTTATTTATTTCCTCAAAACGACTTATAGTGCAGAGGAGAGAATGAAGCCATCCCTTGTATTTTTGCAAAGAGATTGTTCCATGATGGGAATGGAAGCCTTGGAGCAATCAGAGGGCGGAGACAAGATTTCAAGCTTATGGATTCTGAATTCTAATCATTTTAAGTTACTAGGTTCTAAATTAATAATTTATATATATTTAATAGATTTTTTAAGTCAATAGAGGGTTCGAACCAAAGCTACTGGGTTCGGTGGAACCCGGTTCCGACACTCTAGCTCCGCCCCTGGGAGCAATGGTAAAGTTGTCTTTGTGACCTATAGGTCACCAGTTTTAGCCGTGGAATCAACCACTTATGCTTGCATCATGGTAAGCTGCTTAGTGCCTACAGTAGGGACGCGACCCTTCCCCGGACCCTGCGTAAATGCGGAATGCTTCGTGCACTGGGCTGCTCTTAAAATTGTTTTGTGCTTGAAGCTGTTGAAGTAACTCTACCGTTGCGCCTAAGCTCGTCCAAGAACAATTAAAGAATAAAAATGATAAAGATTTCATTAATAGGAGCTGAAAATTAGCAGTACTTACCAGTAAATTATTTCCCCCGTACCAACTTTGGTAACGTAAAGTGCATGACCCATATCCTCCAACACATTTCTGTACGGAGTCCCCGAGTAGAACACTCCGGGACCGCAGTACGACGTCGTATTATCGGCATCTGATTCGTTACTACATTTTTCTTCCAAGAGCAAGTTAAATTGTTCCCTGAGTCTCACATAACTCGTTTCTAAACCTCGCAATCGCTCAGAGAAAACTCGGGAAATAGCCAACTGTTTATCGTCGGAACCATAATCGTCCATGACGGCGGAATGCGGAGGTGGTAGTGATGGTGGTGGTGGTTTTGGATGGAGGTGAGAAAGGCTTTTGTAGCTGTGTGTGTGACTGTATTCCCCTTTGTTGAATTTAAATATTGGACTATTTATAATATGTCGTGGGACCAAAAGGTAATTTCCACGTGGCATCTGGGCGCCAAGAGGAAGCTAGCCCCTGAAAGGGGGTTGATATAATGTTAATTTTGGTCACAATTTCGAGGATTTACAAGTTTCGGCTTTGTATTTTTTTTATTTTATTTTTTTCCTTTCCAATTTGAACAATTTTGGAATTATGCCTTGTTTCGTCATGTTTTTACTCTCTCTGTTCTAATTCATCTGAACTTGTTTGATCGAGTACGAAATTTTAGAAAAAATGAAGATTTTTAGAATTTATGATCCTAAACAAGTTAAAAAAAGGTCCAGATTATTTGTGCAGTTATAAAAGCTTTCAAGGGTAGAATTGTAAGTTTAAACTAAATTGTTTCCAAATTTAAAAAAGAATCATTCTTTTTGAAACAGATTAAAAAAAATAGGTTCACGTCAACTTGAACAGAAAGAATAGTATTTATTATTAAGATAAAGTTCAAAAAATATCAGCCTTGTAAATCGGGTTTTTGTTTCAATTTGAACGATAGGAATTTGGAATATAGTCCATATTTGGTCACGTCATTTACTATAAGAAAGTTCCAAGACCACATTATGCGGCTACACTGAAACAAAAGAACTAAGCTGGCAAACGTCCAGGACCAATACAAAGCGTCTTCTAGTCAGGAATCGGAAAATGTCACTTCCAACGTCACTTTTTTATATAACCCGATTATTATTTGGGAGTAAAACAGTATGTTCATTTGGTTAGCAATTTTTCAAATAATTTTAAATATTTAAGTTATTAATTATGCTGATTTATCGTATTTTTTATAATTTTTAAATGTATAATTTTTATTTTAATAAATTTAT